TATCAGGATGCAAAGAAAACAAGTTCTACAGTTTTCTGAGAAGAAGCAAAGGGCATCAAATGCTAGGAAAAAGCATGGTGGAAGTATAGACACAACACATCTTTCTAGATCTGTATGCATAAATATCAGGAAACAAAAGCAGTACACTAAGACTCCTAAACAGAATTCCTCTTCTGTTATAAATCCTTTTTTTTTTTTTTCCCCCAATATTTATCCAACTGCAAGCTCTGACAGTACCTTCTAAATGAAATAAGTTGTTTTAATTATCAAATTTACAAGACCAAACAAACTAGCAAATAAGCTTAATAGCATATTGGCAGTTATTAGATTGTTGACGAAGAGAATGGATACAGATACAGTGACAGCATTAAACTGAACATCATATCTCATAGAAATGTCTACAAAACAGGTGAACACAAGAACCTAACACTATGTTCCCATGTCAAATTAAAACTTTTTTTTGTTTGTTTCCAAAGATTTGTTATGCAGTATTCTCAGCATGCATCACAAGACCTCCTCCCCCCTTCCACCAGCTCTGCTAGAGCTGAATGAAATAATACCAAGAAAGGAATTTGCCTCAGGTTATTTTATGCAGCCTTTTTGAAGGCTAAGGGCAAAAATACAAGCAGGCCTATGAAGAATTTACAATAAGCTGACTGACACAGTGAAGAAAACTTGGAAGTGTTCATCTAATGAGCAATACATATAACTGCTAAAACCTGAACCATCAGCACCTCTGTTGGGATCTTTTCTCTTCCTAGCCCAGTAACTCTGATGTGCTCAGACTGAAATCTACCTTCCTCCATGCTTTTTATACACTGAAAGTTACTTTATTAACATTAAAAGACTCCTTCCAACAATGGTGGTCACCAAGTCCATTTTCACATGGATTCACAGCTCCTGGATCTGATTTCCCTGGAGCTGAACAGCCGGAAAAGTAGCAGGGATCCCCTGGGCTGGGGCTGTCAATCAATACGGCTCCCATGTCTTACACTAGCAGTTCACACCTATCTAAGAGTCCACCTCACCTACCAACCTGCCCTTCCACCTTGGCTGAAATTCAGTGCACAAAGAAATAATTCACATTTACAGAAGTACAATACATAAAAATTAATTAAAACATTAAATCTTTCTAAAGAAATGTGATGTACACAATTAAACTCAGCATTTAGTATAGGGGAAAAATCCCTTCAGACAAAGGTCATTGGTGCGGTGATGAACATCCTTCAGGTCTTCTAAACAATGTTATCATTCTTTTGTCCACCTCATTAGTATCCTCCCCCACAGCCTGCATTACCTAGTTTACACTACTAGAAACACTGCTTCCAGCAATGCCTATGTGTGCTGATTTTATTTCTCTCAGCAATTTCCTTACCAGATACCATATGCACGTGTAATGTTATTTCAGCTCAGATTTACACAGCACCTCTGATATTTCCCACATGCAAGTGTACGTCTCTGAATTGGATTTCCGAATATAACAACAGAACATTCCACATATAAAAAAGCTTGTTTATTAGCACCATAAAATTGTCAGTCGTTTATGCCCCACTTGTAAATACCAGGCCACATTAACATAAACTTGCCAAATGCAGAACAGGGGGGAGAGTGGGTGATCTTCCCTGCGATCCTTCAACAGGAGAGCAAAGCATAAATAAAAAGTGAGCGTGGTGGGAAGTGCTACTGTTAGTTCTAGTAATTCTACTCCAGCTCAGAGGAGCAGACTCATGGCCCGGAGGACACGAGCGTGCACAGCCAGCATCCCTTTATTTACTGCCCTGAGTCCCTGCCATGCTCACTAGCTTGACTTTACAGGAGAGCACGTTGGCTCATCTTGTGCAAAGATATACATATTTTAGATGCTGACTACTCTCCTTGTCAGATTCGAGACCTAATCAATCCCTTATGCTATAACCAGGTGTAAGTCATAAAGAGGTTGTTATTAAAAAGTTTTATAGAGTGAGAAGCTTAGGTACTCATGCAGGAGAGAGGTTTTATAAACAGCCCACTGTGCCATCATGGTTTCAGGCACTGATGCCAAGACTTCTACCCTCTGGCCAGTTTTAAGCATATTTTGTTATTCTCAATCACTGGTCTTGAATTCTAGAGTTACTTCTGCTGCTGGCTTATAAAAGCCAAATTCTCCATCCACAAAAAGATCCAAATAAGACTTACCAGAACACTTTGGCTTGGAGGCCAGCAGTGACAGTCAGAGGCACCATAGCACTTAATTTGACTTTGCACACCTGTTTCGGTGGTAGGAGAGTGAAATGTAGAATGACTACAAAACTTCTACAGACTGTGCTCTGTGTGAAAAATGAGACTGTAGACAGTAAGTTACTCTAAAATGAAAATCTGAGCAGCAAAAGAATACAAAAAATCAAAAATAAAGTATGGACTTTATGTTACCAAAATGTCAAAGCAGCAACAAATATCCTCGATGAACTCATGAGTGCTTGCAAGCTTATACTTATTTCAGGTTATTTTTCAGTATAGCTTAAATCAATGGAGTATAACTTAACCTTAAACTAGAAAACCAATGCAGATTTATCTATCACTTGCAAAAAAAAAAAAAAAAAAAAAAAAAAAAAACTAAATAAATTCAATAAGTTATTGCAAAGGGAAAGTTAGAGCCACCCTGCCCACACAGGACAGCACTGCTCCCTGAGCTCCTCCTGCTCCCACTGGCTGCTTGTCCCCAGGGACCACCCTGTGTCACTTTCTAAGCAGCAACTGCAGAAGCCTCTGTGTTCAAAACCCGAGGAAATCCCTTAGTAAGGGGAATTTATATGTGCATACTGCAGCTGCAGTCCATGTTCAAGCTGCTCACTTACAAATTTCCTGCTACATCCTCCAAATTCCAGCAAGCTATTATCTTAAGCTCTGCACAGCAAGTCCAGCCTTTGGTGGCATCTCACTCTGCTATTTTTGTCCTAGGTGATACTGCCTCCCATGTCATTTATCAAAGTAATCATGACTCAAAGGACCCAGTTCCCACCCACACAAACAGGAAAAAATTGAGAGCAAGACAGGATACCAGGTATCCACAATGCTGTTATTATTATCTTGATAAAATAGCAGGGACACACATTCTGCCTGTCACAATTAAGGTGATAAATGCCTGCTTCTTTGAGGCTTGTCTGAAAGTCAATTATGCAGATTATTTCTAGAATACAGACAGATGGTCTTTTCCCCCATATGAGACAATCAAGTTGAACTTTGATATGTGCATAAAAATACTGTAATTTGTCAAGCTCCAATGGGGCCATTTTATCACAGATAACCAAAAGACTATATGGATTTTTGTATTTGCCTCTTTTCGATTAACACAGCCTATGTTCCTTTTTATTCCAAATTTTTTTTTTTAATGGAAGCTTTGCTATGTTTCATCTTGAAGCCAAATATTGATCTTTCAGTCGAGTCTTCAGGTTTTGATTAACGCAAAAGGTTGCCAAGCAAGCAGCTTTTTGTTTGTTTTTTGCTAATTTTTTTTTTATTCACTTGCCACAGTAAATCTTGCTTTTATTGTCCCACCACTGAAAAGAAAAAATGGATTGGTTCGAGCACCTAAATAATTTACAATACACAGCTTTTTGGAAAGACTGATGCAATGCTGACCTTTGTTTTCCCCCTTCTCTAGTTGACAATAGAAAATTTTTGATTGACTTGAAAGGAATAGAAAGGAAGGTTGATTTTGACATGTTAATGACGGTTTAATGCAACAAAAGCTTTAGAAAATGAGTGTTTAGTAAGGAGTTTTTTTAACAAAGCAAAAACAAGCTGTTGTAAGTACAAAAATTGCCATCAATATTTTTCTCATAATTTTCATTCTCTAACAGGTTGAATTTTGTGCTCCCATTTAAGAAACAAGTTAAATTTATTTTTGATGCACAAATATTCTGGCTGCCTAAATTGCACTTCATCCATAGTCCATGCTTATCAAATCCACAGTAGACTTGATATGCCAAAGCACACAGATCCTGGCAAATGTAGGCAAGAATATTCTGAAACAGAGGATGAGGGAGACCAATATCTTGTTTCTTGTAGACGTTTTTTATATCCTTGTGTTAAACAACTTTGACTCCCACGCAAATACAACCAAATCAAAGACCTGGCTCCAATCCAACTGAGCCCAGGGAGGGCTTAAGCCTGCTTCCAAAGCAGTGCAAAACCCCATGAAGGTATAAATATTAATAAATATTTGAAGTCCACAGCATGTAGAGTCAATAGTAGATACTGTCTTACCTGTCTGAGGTTTAATGTCAGACAACACAAGATTAATAACACCTGCCTAATCAAGGAGCGTTTCAAGGTCTCCAATGAGAACTGCAACAGAAAGACAAGATATTAATTTAAGGGAACTTTTTGGATAGTAGAAGTCTTCCTTGACACCACTGTCTAGAGCCTATAGTACACATCACTGCTGGACACAGACATATACAGTTAGATCCAGATGGACATTAAGGCAACGGGTATTTTGGCAGAACATTTTACCAACTTTCACTGTAAGATACGTCAGATGGATTATCGTGGTTCATAAGGAGACATGGATATCAATCATCAAAACCCACATTTCAGCAAAATATTCAATACAAGCTTAAAATAACTCTTTGCAATCTATCAGCCAAAGTACTTGCATTACCTACGAGTTTCTGCTTAGCCCCTCTCAAAAAACATATACTGACTTCTTAGCAGTGCTTTAAACTCAACCACACACCAGAAAGCTGCTCACACAGTATTAACGCCACCAAATCAGACCCCACAAAGCTTCCAAACTGCACAACACTGCAAAAATCTACCAGTCATTCAGGGCAGAGGCAGCTGCTGCTGAATGTAGCATTCATTTTGCCTTTTTTTTTTTTTTTAAATTTCTCCAGACAAACCAAAAAGAAATGGCTCCATATCAATAAAATGGTATGTCAATTTGGTAATAAATATTCAGCTTTTCTCTTGGGAACTTACTGCTTCATTCTAGTTCTGATGGAACATATTGCCAGCCAGCACTCAGGGGCCCAGTATTTCACGTTATTATACATCTGCCAGATATTCATGTCCACACTCTCCACGTGAGAAGAATAATGTGCTGATCTACGTGTGGAAGACAAGAAGGTGTTCAGGAGCAGTCAGCATACATTAACCAAAGAAAAATCATGTTTAAACAACCTGATTGCTTTCTACAGTGGGACAAACAGCCGGGATCAATGGCACAGCGTCTAGCTGGAGGCCTGCAGCTACTGGTGCTCAGCAGGGGTCGATGCTGGGTACAGTATTATTTAATTCATTCATCAGTGACTTGAGTAAAGGGATAGAGGGCCTCGTCAGCAAGTTTACCACTGCATGAAAAATCCAGGAAAGAGAATAAGGGCACAAAATTCAACTCATACATGAAAAAGTACGTTGCAGCAGCACCATTGTATTTTCCGGGGAGCAAGCATGAGAAACAAAAGGCTGAACATATGCAATCAGAAAGACTATGTAATATGGCAGATGAAAGTTCTTCAAATTACTTTTAAAAGTACTCTGTAAGTGGGAGAAGATGCGAGAGACAAGGGTTTTCCAAAAAAAAAAGAAAAAATTGTTATCATGAAGTGAAGGAATCAAAAAATTGTTGAACCTTGCACATTCTTAAAGCTACTCACGCAATTTTCAATTGTGCTTAAGTTTACAAGGACAAATCAGACCTTTGAAACTAACAATTCCATTTTCAAGGGTGTCCATGAAAGACTGAAGCCATATACAAATAAGTTACAGGATACAAAAGAAAGCCACGTAAATAACAACAACAACAAAAAAAAAACCTCAGGGTGAATGTCAGCAATTGAAAACATACATGCAGCAGCTGCAAAATAAATTACTGTAGTCAAAGTCTCTCCTCAGACTCAAGAGCTCATACGGCAGTCTTTTAAAGGTCAGTAGTGAAGTCAGTCACGTTGGAAAAGTAGTCCAAGAATATGAAATCCAGTGTTCAAATGATTTGTTTGCCCAGGGGTCCTTATTAGAAAGGTAATCTCTTCTCTATCACTGTTTAATAACATATCATTACTTTGTGAAGTGCTTTAAAATACCTGGAGTACAAAAGATGATATTTAAAACAAATTCATTCTAGTCTATCCCAAACAATACATAAAAAACTGAAGAGAAAGGATAAAGATGTTAATTTTACTGACAATTTTGTAACACTCCATGAGAGAGAGAGCAAACAGCTATAATTCCAAAATTACATATAACCACAGGCCATTTCGTCATGTGAAAAGTACCAAGAGATGATAATTTCTCCACTGACTTTAATTAAGCTTCATGTAGACTCTCTCACAGACTCTCCTTCCGGTTCTCCTTGTTATTAAAAGAAAAAGTGAAAGTACCTTCCAGGTGAATTTTGATGAGTGCTCGTAGTTCCGCAGTCTTGCAGAATGAAAAGTTTACATGTAAAGTCGAGGTTTTGATGAATGCCAACGTGAAAGCTAATTAAACGGGCTGAAAGGAAGACACAATTTCCCATTGTCTAATTGCCTCACAGCACCTTTCAAGGTAATAAATTTGTCACATTGAATTATTAATGAGCAACGAACATTTGACTTGCAGCCTTGAATAGAAAATAGTTCATTATCAGTTGGCCTTGTTCCTTCCAAACAAAGAGTGGCAAGAGGGGCCTTAAGAAAAAGGTGCCAGACAAAGCTCTTCCTCACATCAGCATCTTGCACATAGCGTGCCTTTTGGTGCAACATCCTGCAAAAGTTCCACTGAGGGGGAAAAAATCTAATTCCTAATGCTCTTCGGCCTTCACAGCCTAACAAAATTCCATCTGGATTTCCCAAAATACTCTACTTCACTGTCCCTCACTTGAAACATATACAAGGCTATGTCAGTGTAGAAGGAGCTCAAAAAAAACTAAGGCCAGCTTTACGATTATGTGGCTCTTTGAGACTCTACCTATCTTCTTTGCAGAGAACTGCACACAGAAATGAGATGGGACAGGTAGAAAAGACCTTTGTAATGGTGGAGGACTCCACTGTATCTTGTTCTTAAAACAGAATAAAGTCTAGCCACTTGGTTTGGTGTTAGATCTGCAACTAGATAGGGAATTATGGAATAAAGTTCATGTGCCTCTATCTGGGCCATCTCAACAGCAAAGGCTTAGGCTGTACCATGCCTGGGGACATGCAGCTGCCCTGGTAATGGGCATGCTAAGAAAGCCCCAGATATAGGAGCACTGGTACTGGTTCTCCTCTGAGTCTGGATCACACTTTCTCCAAGGGCTGCCGCTCCATACAGCACACTTCAGAGTAGCATACCCTACATTTACTACTTTGCCTTCAGAAAGTAATTGCTGGTTGGGGAAGCATTCCTTGCACAAGAGTTCTCGGGTGAAGGAGGAGAAGAGAGAGAGGCAATCAGTTTGTGTCCTGATTGTAAAACATAACAGGAAGACACAAAGCCTCCCAGCCCAAGCAGACAGAGCACCTGCACATACCCTGGATGTTCAACTTTGTACATTCAGCAAGCATTTCTGCAAGCATTTTCTGAAATAGTTTTCATTTTTACAGAAAACTTATAATCGTTAATTTGAAGCACAGGGCTCAAGTTCGCAGTGTCAGTAGGACTAATTCATAACTCCAGGATAGGAAGCCCTTCTCTTTTTCATCTCGAGATGAATAAAATCGGCTTCTTTGATGCCTGACCATTCCAAAACTCAACTATTCCCCCTTCTGCCTCACTTCATACCAGGGTTCCCCAGTGTTATTCAGAAACAAGATTAATACCTGCTTAGTGGCTGTTTCCATGGCCAGGTAATCACAGCCGATGGCTATAAATGCTCACAGAGCCCAGTAGTTTACTGGAGCTTCTCACCTACATTGTAAACAAGCTCTGCTACAGAAATCATACAAGCTGCTCAGAGTTCATATCACTTCTGCCTGAACACAGCACCTGTAGCTTGTGCATGGAAGAGCAATGGAGAGACCAAATACTCGTCACAGGGCAAGGCACCGAGGCTTGCACGCGCATTGGGCCTAGCTGCATCGTGCACACAGACAAAGCTTCTTCTCCTTAGGTGGAAATGAAGTGTTGTTAACTCTCTCTTGAATTGCAGCACTTCCAGAGAGTCCTGCTGATTGAGGAGGTGCTCAAAGGGCCTGTTCCAAATGCATGTGTGAGCCCTGAGCAAGAAATCTCTCAGCTGCTGCATCTCTGGCACTTTACCAGAACACCTCAGAGATTCGGCAGCTTTCCTTTTGCAGTGAATTTGAGCCTTTCATGCACACATCAGTAACACCTGTAGTAGAAAGCTTAGAAGTTTTAATGAATAAGGCAGGGAGATTTAAAGGTTTGGGTATATAATTACTGTAGCAACATGTGCTCTTTCTTGCACCACCATGAGATCTTCTATTAGGCATGGTGCAATACACCAAGTAAATTACAGGTCACAAAATACAGCAATAAATCCTGCCCACATTAAATTACAAAGTAATTAAAACCGCTCCAGTGTTTACACTTGAAATTCACTAATGATATCAGAAAAACTTCCGATTACCAATGCATCCAAAGCAGCCTCTGTAGCATCTGACTGCTGCTAACATGAAACTGCTTTTTCAGCAGGGCCAGACAAAAACAAAAGTACTTAGACATAAATAAGCAGGGGATGCTTCCGAGGCTCTAAAGAAGATTCTTCCCTAGGTAAATCCCCAATTCCATTTATCTGTTAGTGAAATTATCATACACTTCAAGTTCACCCTATAAAAAAACACCAAAAATGGGGATTTTCATCTGAACAGCAAACAGTACCAGCTTTACTACTTATAGGCAACATGCTTTTTCATTTCTCAGTCCCACCTGCATCCTGGTTCAATCCAACAAAGAAATGAAAAGAGCAAAAGGGCAGCACCAGTGTTGCTCTGTTCAAGGATGTGGGTGGTGCCAGCCCTTGAACTGCCTCTGCTCCTTGAAAAAAAGGACCATCAGCAGACAGGATGTCTCAGTTCCCAAAAACCTTCCAGGCCAGAAAGTTGCGGCGATGCTGAAATAACAGGCAAGACAATGAATGCACTCCGACAAAACCTGACAAGACAGTAGCGAAACACTCATTATTATCCCTGACTTATAGGGCAAGTCAAGCCTTTAGTCACCCTTGTCTTGATATACTCTTATTACTGATAGGGAATGGCATTCATCCTATTTCAGAGTAAAACACCTACTACTGCTGATACACAGAAATTAAGTACCAGCTTTCATTACACATATGGTAGATTTGATTACTCTATTGCTTCTCACATCAGTCACTTGGCAGTAGTCATGCATCCTCCTCTGAAATTGGGATGCAGCAATTAGGTACCTGTGTGAAACAATGATATTGCTCCATCCCATACCTGCACTCAGTGCAGTGCTGCCCAGTACATCACCAAGTCACTTCCAAAAAGCACCTCACACTTCCTGGCAACCTATGAAAAATGTCCTATTTTGAAACAGTATTGCCTCTGCGTGATGTATGTGCCGTTTTTCCTTTCCTCTCAGTCTTCATTACTAACATTTGCATGAAAAATAGCATCTTCAGTCTTCAAAAAGTTCATCCGTTGCTGCTGCTGCTATTTTTTAACTTTGCACTTGAAGTCATAATCCTCTTTGTGTAGTTACAGCAGGATGCTGTGAAAATTCTTGTGGCAAGGAGAAGAAAATACAGCCCTGATGAGTACTCAAGAGGAAGCCTGGGTGCCAGAGCAGAAATGAAGCAGGCAGCTGCCAGCATCTAGTATGTTGCCACCATGTAAATGCCACTCCTGGGCCTCCTTTCCTCTCCACAGTCCTTCTGAACTTCTCAGTGACAGCAGAGTCCCATTGCACACTGCTACCACCCACCATGGCTAACACTGCCCCACATTTGCCCACACTGCATCCAACAGCTGCTTCCTGCCCTAGGCTACAACTCCTGGCCAGGCACTGCTTACTCCACCAGGGCTGCACATGAGCAATGCTCCAGTGTTCTCTGGCACCAGGAGTAAGTAAACAATAAGCAGGGGTGAATTGTGAATAGCTCAGGCATGTGCTCATTTAGCTCCTCTGCCAGTGTTTCTGCTAGCCTTTAACTCATAAATATC